TAGGGTGAGATAATGGCTCGAAAATGTAGACCTTTGCCGAACGCCTTTGCATCCATGTGCGAATCCTTGTTCCTGTTTTACTGGGCTGAAATTCAGGCGGGACAAGTAGTGACTGTTCGGTCGCTTAAAGATGTTTTATCACGTATTCATTTTTCTTTCCTTAATTTGTCAACTTTAGATTAAACTTGATCATGAAATATTACTTCACCCTAAGTATTTTGGTCCAAACCTTATTGAGACTGTGAAGGCCAAACTTTTTTCTGATGTCGAGGGTACATGCTCCGGAAAGTACGCCATTTGTTATCTTAACTTTGTTGCAGGTGCGGTTTTATCATTGCAGTAACAAGCATCGAACACATTGGTGCCGGCATCCTCCTCCCTGGGAGAGGGTTTGTACAGTACCATATAGTTTATAGAGCCATTGTTTTCCGACCGTTTAAAGGAGAAGTCATTGACGCGATAGTGACTCAAGTAAATAAAGTTGGCGTCTTTGCCGAAGCTGGACCACTGACAATCTTTATTTCGCAACACGTACAGTCGTGCATTTTCTAACTGCCTTTAGTGCATTCCACCAAATATCAAGTTTGAAGGCGCCGATACAACTGTCGAAAACAACAACGAAGACGAAGAACAGGTTTGCATTTAACTTATTTGTGTTTGTTTCTTTCATTCGGCGTGTACGGTTTGTTTTTTTCACTTTTTTAACACTATTCTTGCTCCCCATGGGTTGTTTAGTCGGTCTAACTTACTCTAGCATGACGCACCCTTTTTACTATGTCCCTGCATGTGTGTAGAGATTAGGTGCAATGTTATGACGAACAAGTCCTTGTTTCGGAATTTCGTAGATATATCTAGTGATCCTTCTTGAGTTTGTGCTATCTGGAGGTCACTTCCATACAGGCAGTCAGGAGCTTAAAGGACAAAATAGGAAATTCAGCTGCGTGAGTCAGCCGGTTCTGTACCAATATTAGCCTGTAGCGGTTCGAGTTTTTTGTCAGTAGTTCCTCCTCAAAGAGCACTGCGACGCACTTTCTTACATCATACGTCAAACACAACCATCGACGGTGGTGGCAGTGGAAGTCACCACTTGTACTGATTCCGTATTGCTAGCCGTCTAGCGGAGCGAAATCTATCCGCGTCCGGTTTCCCTCAACACCGGTCGATTTGGCATTGCCACCATTGTGGTCGTTTAGCTCTATTAATTTCTCCGTCAGGTATGAGGAAAACGCTCTATTTAGCTGCCTTAGATCATGGCGAACGGAGTGCTAACTGAACTGAACAGGATAATGTGTGGTCTCTGCTTCCAGAGGTCGTTAGTGTCTGCAGATAACGATAATACAGGTAACGGCAAATCGGTAAGCATGTCATCCTAAACAAATATAGTACTCCAAGACAGATTACCTTATGAAGGTTTTTCCCCATAATTTGTTCAGGTTATTCCGTGAAAATCAGCAGCTTTCATGATATTTCAATTAATTTTCGCGTCCCTGGGAACAAGCAATTCTGGTACTACCAGCCCGTAGGGTCATCCCACCAAATGTTCATGTTTTCGATGACGCGTTTTGTACCTGCTTCCTCCACCCGTTCGGGACCCTTCATTTTATGCAACTTGCCTTCGACTAAAGGCAAATCAGGGGCTTCTATTGCCCGCGTCAATAGATAAAGTGAAACGGAAAACATACGAATCTTCGCATAGTGCTCATTTCAGGTCCTCCGTTCTTGAACGTGTGTATTCTGAGCCGAGAGAAAAACGTCACGAGTCTACCGTCTAACTGATCCCCCTTGCCAGTGTCAGTAGGAAACACTGCTGAAGTCAAACACAAACCGGCCCGGTATTTTTGTTTAGCCGTCTCTATCCTTGATCCTGTCTC